GTCAATAGTTGCAGTTTGTATGTGAGACATCTCGAACTGCGTCACCGCCAATGCAGCGTTCACGGATTCCAGCTTTTTTTCCTGTCCTGTGTCAGGCAATGTGGCTCGTGACAACGAGTCGGCCACAAACATGCGCTTACCTTGTTTGTAATGCAGTTCTTAATTGTATTTCTGTAGAGGTATTAGCATCGATTGTAACCTACTTGGTGCTCTATGGTGTGGCTTATCCACAATCATGATCAGTGGTTTGTGATCTGAGTATACATGCGTGAGTCGACCAAATGTGTAATCATTGAACTTCTCCAGCGCATACACAATTGCTAGCATTTCTTTCTCGATCTGGGCGAACCTTTGTTCACAGGCCGTTAGTGTCCTACTCCGGTAATCTAATGGATGCCCATTTTGAAGGAGTGCGGCATCTAAACCAAATTGACTGCTGTCACACTGTATGCACAGAGGTGCATTGGAATCGAAGTAAGCCAGCACTGGCGCTTTTACAATAAGTTACTCGACACGATCAAAAGCCACCTGTTGTTCTTGTGTCCAAAACTACGGTCCTCCTCTAGGCGTCAAACGTCGAATCAACCGCATCACTTCCGCTAGTTTTGAGAGAAATCTTCTGAGATAGTTTATTATTCCTTTCAATCGTGATACGCCTTTCGCATCGGTTGGGGGAGGAACTTCTGCAACCGCTTCTACCTTTTCCAGGTCCGGTTTGACCCCTTCACTTGTATGTACGTAACCGTTAAAGCTGACTTCCGATTGACAAAAACATTAGCTTTTCCTGTTTCAGCTTGATTCCGTCTCGTATACAACTCTGTAAAAAGCCTTCAAACCGTCTGTTGTGTTCATCTGCATCTTTACCAAAAATTAGAATGTCGTGCGCCACGCACAATACACCCGGGTAAATCATCTACCGCTTGGAGGATTCGTTTCTGATAAAATTTCAATTGATACTTTCAAACCAAACGGCATTCTCTTCTAACGATATCAACCGAGTGGCGTGCCAATTGGTCAGGTAGCTTGATTTACCGTCCAGCTCTAAATGCCGAACGCAGAGGCTAAATCCACCTTCGTGAAGTATCTTGCATTAGCTGTTTCCGTTAGTATATCGTCAGAAATCGGTAGGGTGAAGTGCTCCCGTCTTAATACCTTGTTTAATGGTTTCGGATCAATACATATACTCCATTCTCCAGGCTTTTTCGTCAACACCACAACCTGGCTCACCCAGTCCGTTGGTTCACCGACTATCTCCAGAACGCCCTTTGTGATAAGGTTATTCACTTCACGCGAAAATTCCTCTCGAACAGCAAGTGGGATCCGCCGCGCCAGTAAGACACCGGGCTCGGCTGCGTCGTTTATGTGAAGTGTCACAGTTCTTGGCAACTTTCGCAGTCGAAAACAGAGGTATACTTTTTCAGGTAGTATTCAGTGTCTTTACAAACGTGATGAACAAATGAATTATAGTTAAACGATACCAAATCAAGTCGCTCGATGAACTCGTATCCAAGGATTTGAACATATCCCGGCTCCTCCACGACAAAACTCACGACAGAAGAGACTCCGTTTCTAGGATTCTTCAGTGTAATAATAGTTTCTCCTTTCGGTTCCACGTTTGCACCGTTCCACGTAACTAATCTCGTCCGGGTAGAGTCCAATTTAATATCGGGTAAGCAATTTCTCGGTATTATGTTGACGGACGCACCAGAATCTAGTTGAAACGTTACTTCTTCTCCATTCACCAACATTTTTTGCAAATATACGTTTCCGTTTGGCCGGTAGTTGTATACCATTGACACGATCAGCTGCTCCAAAGTGAGGTTCTAAAGTTGATTCTTTCTTCCCGAAACATTTTGCTGCAAAATGATTACGCTTTTTGCGGTTATCACACGCTGTTCCCCAAGCAGGGCAGTTGCTTCTTCCCATAAGATGTATGCGGCCACAGAAACGGCAAGCAGCTGTTGGATATGTTCGATTTTCAGCGGCAATTTTGAACAATCCATAATCCTCTATTATGGTAGGCGTATCCATATGCTTCTCTGCTGCCTCTTCACTCAGACATATGTCGATGCATTGTTTCAATGTCAGCTTTGGAATTTTTAGGAGGCGCTTCACCACAGCAGAATCCCGTAGGTCAACGACAATTCGATCCCTCATTAGACTCTCTTCCAGATAGGTACAGAAATTGCACGACTGAGACAGTGATTTTAACAATAGGAGGAATACGTCCAGGGATTCACCATGCTGCAGTCTACTCTGATTGAAAATGTATCGTTCATAATTCCCTTTGGATTCGCCAAGACAGTATCACCTCATCTTTGCCATCACCACCTGCCAAGCTGCACGGTCCTCATCCGGACAGTACGTGAATCCATTTATGACACGCAGAGCAGCCCGACCAATCGTGTGACGGAACAAAGCCACTTGTACGGGACTGGATTCGCGGTCCATCGCTGTCAGTGCACGAAAGTCTCCATACTGTGTTCGCCACAGCCACCAGTTGTCAGCCAGTCGCCCCGTTTTCTCCATAGTCAGGTACAAACATTTCCGTCGTATATAAATTTCTGAAATTCTTCGAAAAATTCATCAGATAACCTGATTGTCAAAAGTCAGTTCTTCAGGAAATGCTCTCCATATATTTTCTCTAGTCCACTGGACACGAATCACATTTTTGGAGGGAATCACGGGCGTTTATATATAAGCCTGAACCAATCAGATTGTTTGGTCTGTAAAATTGAAGTTTTATACGGACCAATCATAAAAACACAGTTGATGCAGTAAAACAAACAGTCAATTCAAACAACATTTTCCAGCATATCATTCTTCTTTTGAAAGTTTTTCATTATGATCTTGATTGGTATACTCATCCACTTCGTATCCGGGATGCAGATTGTGCTGTCATACCCGTCGTTGGTATTCCTTGCTACGATTCTTGTACACATCCTTCATATCCTCCTGAACGGTATTTGGATCTTCTCTTTCTTCGTCTTCGTCACAATTCTCTTTCCCTTTCCTCAAATGAACTCTATTTCTCCGTATTATCCGTTGACCACAGCACACTAGGTACGACTTTTTTGTTGCTCGCGCGATCACTTTTCCCTTCGCCCACACCTCCTTTGGCTCCAGCGGTTGTATCCAAGCCGTGTCTCCTGATCTGAGTGAGCACAGAGGTTCACTGCCGCAGTCGTAATACATCTTCTGTAGCGCCATGCGTTTCCTTAGCCTTGACTGTATGATTCTTGATGGCGTAGTCTGTGGCTGTAGCAACTGGTCGCAATTGGGTAGAACCGTGCTTATGGGTATGCCAAATAAACGTTGGCTTGGGCTGATTCCCATGTTGGCCGACGGTATGTTCCGTAACTCGTGCAGGGCCATTAGTGAGTCGCTACCATCCGCACCGCATTTGTTGATAAGCTTATTTGCCAGTTTGACTGCGCTTTCTGCTTTGTCGTTGGACTGGCTATGATAGTGGCTAGTAACGTGGTGCTCAAAACGCCATTGTACACTGAATTTAAGGAATTCGGTGCTACGAAATTGTGGACCACCATCGGAAATCACCTGAAGTGGTGTTCCGTGTCGTACGAAATGAACGCGCAGTTTATCAATGATCTTCGCCGATGCGCTGGATAGCGGTAAATCAACTTCGAAAAGGTCACTGTAGTAGTCAACAGTTATCAAGTAGGTGTCTTTTTCGTGATAAAAGATATCCAGCGCTACCAGCTGCCATGGTCTCTCTGGTACTGAACGCATATTCATCGGTTCCTTCTTTTGTCGCTGACCAAACTTCCTGCAAATTTCACATTTAGCAATCAACTTTTCTATCTGTTCTGACATACCCGGCCTATAATATGTCTCCCTGGCGCGACTGAGGCATCCGTTGGTACCGGCGTGAGAACAATGTATCAAACGCACTACGTTTTGTTGAATCGCTTTTGGTACGACCAACCTTTTACCACGAAAAATCAGTTCATCGTGCACAGTTAGTTCATCTTGGAATTTGAAGTAGGGCAGTACGTCCATCTGAAGGGCTTTGTTGCCAACCACGAGTGATAACTCCTTTAAGTTCTTGCATGCTCGGATCGTCAATAGTTGCAGTTTGTATGTGAGACATCTCGAACTGCGTCACCGCCAATGCAGCGTTCACGGATTCCAGCTTTTTTTCCTGTCCTGTGTCAGGCAATGTGGCTCGTGACAACGAGTCGGCCACAAACATGCGCTTACCTTGTTTGTAATGCAGTTCTTAATTGTATTT